GAGGGAGTGAATGTCTGTGTGGTGTTTAGCTGCCTGCAGGGTTAAACCACAACAAATACTGAAGCAAATTACTTCAGACCAAACACATCAGAATAACTGATCAGTTACTGGAAGATACGGAATCCAGGCCATGTCCCACTAGAGAATTCTGGTGCAATTCTGGGAAAGTCAGTAACAAATCCTCTGAAGTGGGAAGCAAAGCAAAATTTCAGTAAATAAATTTAAAGGTGTGATCCTCAAACCCCCAAATTTCAAAAGCCCCTATATTTTTAAATTCTTCAAAAATTTCAAGTTTTGAGCAGCTTGACAACTACCTACCTATGTGTAGGCACTATCTAAATTCCTGCTTATAGGCAAACCCAGAACATGCCTAGCACACATCTGTAGGATCACACTCTACACACAACAGCAACCATATCTGTCACAAAAAAAAAAAAAATTAAAAGGGGAGGGGTCCGGACAAAGGGTAAGCAGCATCTACCCTTTCATCAATCAGAATGTGGGAAACCTGATGCAGATGCAAACCTACAAACTTCACCTTCCTGGAGAGATCCATCAAACACCCTGCTAAAATATTTGAAGATTAGGGCACTTAACTTGTAAATGTGAAATGCCCATGTGACAGTCCTCAGCCTGAGGAAAAGAAACACCCTTAACCACAAACAAGTCCTCTAAAAGCTAGACCACTGAATAAAAGTCTGCAGTTTTCTTCTTTCCCTTTCTCTCTCTCTGTATTTCAAAGAAAAAATATTAGCCTACACCATTTTTTTTTTAAAAGGGCAATCTAGGTACAAACTCAACACAGAGGTTTCAACCTGTGAAACCAAAACTGACACCTCTCTGCTGTCAGAAGTTGAATGCTTAAACTTCAGAGAACAAACGAACTTAAGATTCAACCCTCCCTTTAAAATTTCCTATCAGATATGTTAAGATATGTGTCCTTTTAGCAGTTTGGCTGCTGCGAAACATAATCTTAAGTATTTAACTTATTGGGTAGGGAATGTGTCTAATTCAGAGCCAAAGATGCCACTCCAAGACTTCACTGGCCAAATCCTTCAGTGCATCTCACCTCAGGATTTTGGTGCTTGTGTCCTCAAATTGTATTGATAGGCTAAACGTTACATATTCCAGCAAAGTTCCTAGTGAAAAGTCAGAACAAAGAACCCATTCATATAGCCGTACTACAGTACAGGTGACATTAGGGCAGGAGCAAATTCTGAATAGGCTAGCATATCATTTAATTAACAGAACACACAATTAAAATGTTCTATGCAAAAACTGTTACTATATAAAGTTAAGAGGAAAACATTTGCCATCTATGGGGAACTTAAATCACTGGGTACCCATGGTGACACCTGCTAATAATAATATTTTTAATATATTAAGCCTCTGCTGTGTGTTTTATATATGCACACCATTCTAATGCTTGCTCATCTCTTGGTATCTGCTCAGTAAATAACGCCACCTTTTTCAGCAGTGTGTTCCAGAATAGTGTTCTTACCTTAACATGTACTATATATCAATACTCTTACAGTTTGCAGGCTTTTAAGGGTTCAGTTATGCTAAGGATGGAGACAAACATTTTTGGTGTACCATTCTGTCAACTAGAGAATATGCTTTTCTAAGAAGCATCTCCAATGACATTTATTACATTTCCTTTGCTTCTCAAACCCACAGCCACCCAAAGAGCTCTGAAGAGCAGCAAGGCTGAGCCAGCAGTACCAGAAACAGCCACATTCCTGTCTTTGCAAGTTCAGGGAGAAGGTACTGCATGTTTCTCACTTTAGTAGCCACCTCTGCAACCACTCGGTCAACTAAATAGAGGAATTTTGCATCTGCCCGTTTATCCAAGGGCTTGTCATGAAAATTTGCAACTGGCCTGTGCTGACTGAGGAGAGAGGCTAGGACGCACAGAATAGCATCACAGGAGTAATTCTTTTATTCATGCGCATGAGGTGTCCCATTCAAACTGGGGCACCCCGAATGTGGTTTTACACGTGGTTCTTATACCTTTATAGCGATCAGGTACAACACAATTTGACTAATCACTACTTAACACACACTACCATTCGCAAAGCAACTATATTTCTATGGCATCGTTATCCACCTGCTTCTCTATTGATCTAGACAACCCTGGAGTCAGTTTTGCTATAGTTACTTATCTATGATACCAGATAATGGGAGGGTTTCACAGACGTGTTGGAGGGGCTAGGATATTGGTATTATCATCTCCGTTGTTCAGGGGGTGTCCTTTACCCTTCGCGGACAGCTTTAAGATTCTGAGAATCAGAGGTCCTTATCTCGGGGCAGGGGTGTGTGTGCTATCCTTCTTGTGATGAGCTGGGGTCCTTTAGTTTGCTTGCTTAAGCACAACTATTCAGTACAAAATGTAAACGATATAAATATATATACATTAAGAAAATTAATACAATTTCACACTATAAAGACTAATTGGTATAATAGTTAGGGAATGAGATTTTCCTAACAGGCTCTCAGTACCCAGGAAAAAGTTTCAGAATTGCTTATTACTCGTTTGGCAGGTACGTACATCAGTAGACACAATGAGGTTCCCACCTCAGAGGCTCACAATATTTGTTCAGGCCTCTGCTCACTGACTGAGTCCTTAAGCCTCCAAAGCCAGACTTGCATTATTAAAACGCACCACCCTTTCAGACATAGCTGCAGGAAGCAAGAAACTGCACCCTCAGAGGAGGAGCTGTCCCCCAAGATCTCTCTACCCCCCACTGTAGGAAAAAGGGACCTTATTTCAACTCCTGGCCTACCTCTGCAAGGCTG